GGAGCTCCAGGAGTAAGATCTTCGAGCTTGAGGGCCTTGGCAGGCCTGGGTCTACATCTGCCCACCATGATGCCTGGCCCTGGGCAAATGACTTATCTGTTTGATACTCAGTCTTCTTATCTGTAGATGGGGATATTGATTGGTATTATCAATCAGTGGAGAGAGTTCCATTATCAAGCTATTTAGGGGGCCAAACCTAGTAAGTTGTAGGGGTTGCTGTTATCCAGTTCTATCCTGCAGTGGATGGTAGAACTGAGGCTGGGCCAGGCAGATTACACTCACACCCCCACTCCACCCCCTGCAACTGTCCAGGTCTCATCCCAGCTTTGCAGGAGATCATCCCACCATCTGGCCCATTTTACAGATAAGGAAACTGAGAGGCAGCTGAGTGACTTGCCCAGGCCCCTGTGGCCTGCTGAGATAGAACCTGAACCTCAGCCCTGCCGGGGATGCAGTCTATAACGGCTGACGGCCCCTCTGTACCTTTCAGGTTCCTGCACAGCCCAAAGCAGGAGGTTCTGGCAGCTACTGGCCAGCTCGGCACTCAGGAGCACGAGCAATACTGCTGCTGCTCTACAGGGAGCACCTGGTGAGTGCGCGGCTGCACTGGGAGTAAGGGGAGCCGAGGCAGGGGGGCAGGAGGAGGCCGGCTGGGCACCGAAACTATCCTGGTTACATTTCTGCCTTGGTTACAGAATCCTAGTGGCCACAGTTTCTTAACGAAGGAGGAGCTGCTGCAGAGGTGTGCGCAGAAGGCTCCCAGGGTGAGTGCCGAGGAGGGGACGATGGGGCTGAGTGGCTCTGGATCTGACCCTGAGACTGGCCACCAGAGACTGCCTTTCTTGGGAGCAAGGAGTGCCATGGGGCACAGGGAGTTGGACACGTGGTAGTACCAGGAGCTCTCTAAGGGTCTTCTCCCCTATGGACAGATGGCCCCTGGGAGTACTCGACCCTGGCCAGCCCTCCGCTCCCTCCTCCACAGGAATCTGGTCCTCAGGACACACCAACCAGCCAGGTGGGGCCAACTACAAGCGGCACAGGAAGCAGGGAGAGAGAACATGTGTGCCATTCTGAGTGGGACCCTGCAGTCACCCAGCAAATCCCAGGCCTCATGCTGTTGAGGTTGGGGAAGGGAGGTCTTGCCCCCAGGAGCCCACACTGACGGAGTCCCAGGAGGGTCTGAGAGACTGAGCAGTGGGTGGGAGGGAGAAGGGGGTGCCACAGGTTAATAGAGGAAGAGAGAGGCTTTGCTGAGGACATGGCATTTGGCACATCTTAGAATTCAGTGAGTAGAGATGTAGAAAGGCTTTCCAAGGAGGAGGGGAAGTTTGTGTGATGTGTATTTGCTGCAGACCTGAGGAACGGCCCTGGGCAGGTCTAGAGGAAGCTGATGTGAGGGGCAGGAACGCGGCAGGGGTGTGGGGGAGTCGCTGGGCTTGTTTGTGCAGGGTCGCCAAGGGGGTGGTGAGGCCAGCCTGGCTGAGGGCAGGCAGGAGAGCTTGCCAGGTATGAATGAAGAAGGGAGATCTGTGTTTCTCTCCTCTGCCTACCAGGTACTCACTGACCCCGGAGGGTCTGGAGCTGGCCCAGAAGCTGGCCGAGTCAGAGGGCCCAACTTGGCTGAATGTGGGCATCGGGCCAGAGGAGCCCCCTGGGGAGCAGCCTGAAGTGCCAGGAGCAGCCTCAGCCGAGCTGTGAGGAGGAGGGGGAGGAGGAGAACAGAGGAGCGGGAGGGGTCCTGGAAATGAGGGCAGCACCCCACCCCTATCTCCATCACCTACAGCTGAGCTGTGGCTGCCCCACTTCCTGTGGGTCGGGGGGGAACTGCCCTGGCACTGGGATTCTGGCCTCACACATACCAACCCCCGCACTCCCCATAGTGGTGCCAGCGAAGGGAGCGTCCAGCAACCGCCACTGGAGCTGGGGCCTGGAGAATACAGGGTGCTGTTGTGTGTGGATGTTGGCGAGACCAAGGGGTGAGTGAGGTGGGGGGAAGTGAGGGAGAGGGTGCTGGGGGGGTTGGCACGGCCTGCCCTGAGCCAGGCCTCCTGCCTTGCAACTCCAGGGTAGGGCACAGGCCAGAGCTGCTCCGGGAGCTGCAGCGGCTGCACGTGACCCACACGGTGCGCAAGCTGCACGTTGGGGACTTTGTGTGGGTAGCACAGGAGACCAGGCCCAGCGATCCAGGTAAGGGGCGTGGACAGGTGGCTGGGTGTCAGAGGCAGGACCTGTTGGGTCGGGGGACACGGGCCAACAGGAGCCTTCTTGGCCTCTTGGCAGCGAGACCGAAGGAACTAGTCCTAGACCACATTGTGGAGCGCAAGCGGCTGGATGACTTGTGTAGCAGCATCATCGATGGTCGCTTCCGGGAGCAGAAGGTTCCTTACTGCCTCACCACACTCCCTGCCCCCTGCCTGCTCTGGGGGCCTCCTTCTCAGCCCAGAGGAGTCCAGGGGCACTTCTGGGTGGCCTTGAGGCAGAGTTCCAGGGACTCCAGCCACACCCCCATTAGGGCCGCTCCAGGGCTGCATCGAGATCAGACCCCCTGAGGCCCCTCCAGGTACACAGTAGCTGCACAGGGTGTCTGGGCTGGGCCCAGGAGCATCTTAAAGACTCCTTGGGAGTCCAGCCCCTGCAGTCTAGGGTACAAGGCCCAAACGTTTGGGAGCAGGACCAAAGCGCTGTATCTTGGTCCTGGCTGCTGGGCCGACCCCATAGTCAGAGGGGCCACCTACAGGCCAAGGGAGGCTTGAAGAATGGGCATCATTCAGAGATGGTGGAAGGGCTTTCCGAGGAAGAGTAGCAGCATGAGCAAAGGCGTGGAAGCCGCCCTGAGACAGGTGGAGAGGCTGGGAGGACGAGGCGGCGAATGAGTGGGACCAGGATCCCAGGACGATTTTGAGTGTGACATGATGGACAGCCCAGCATATGGGCATCCAGACTGACCCCGCCTCGCCCCCCCCCCCCCCCCCCCCCCCCCCCCCCCCCCCCCCCCCCCCCCCCCGCCCCTCTGTCCGCCTCCCCAGTTCCGGTTGAAGCGCTGTGGCCTGGGACGCCGAGTATACCTGGTGGAGGAGCATGGCTCAGTGCACAACCTCAGCCTTCCCGAGAGCACACTGCTGCAGGCTGTCACCAACACTCAGGTGAGCCGAGAGGGCAGGGCCAGGCTGGCAGGGACCCTGTGGTCTGTGGCTCTGCCCAGGAGCCACCTTCCCTGTCTTGGGTCGTCTTCCCCAGGTCATTGATGGCTTCTTTGTGAAGCGCACAGCGGACATTAAGGAGTCAGCTGCCTACCTGGCCCTCTTCACGCGGGGCCTTCAGAGACTCTACCAGGTGAGTAGGTGTACCTGTTGGGCACTGGCCTCTCACCTCGGCCCTGTGTTCCCCCAAGGAAGGCAAGGTGAGTGAGGTCTGGATTTCTCAGGCCGGATCACTGACGCCTTGGATTGGGCAAGGACTGGCTGGGGATTGTCCCGTAGAGCTCTGGCCTGGCCTCAGCCCCCTCTTCCCTTAGGGCCACACGTTACGCAGTCGCCCCTGGGGAACCCCAGGGGACCCTGAATCAGGGGCTGGGCCCTCCCCAAACCCTCTCTGCTCGCTCCTCACCTTCAATGACTTCAACGCGGGAGCCATCAAGAACAAGGTACTGCCTCTGCCCAGCTCCTTCTTACGTGGCCTGGCCCCAGACCCCTCCTGATACAGTCCTCCCCCGACCCCAGGCCCAGTCGGTGCGCGAGGTGTTCGCCCGGCAGCTGATGCAGGTGCGCGGAGTGAGTGGGGAGAAGGCAGCAGCCCTGGTGGATCGGTACAGCACCCCCGCCAGGTAGGCCCCCCCAGGGCCCCTTAGGGGTCCTTTGCCCCTGCCCTCCCTGCATGGAATTCAGCTCAACCAGTGCTTTGTGGAGGGGTCTGGCTCTGTGAGGGCTGTGCAGACCGAGAGATGGACAGACCCAGCTGAACCCCAGGGAATTTGTGGAAGTCGGGTGGTGAGCAAGACAGAGCCAGCCAGCCCCAGACAGTATCTCAGGCATTGGGGGAGCCCTCAGGAGGGAGGGAGACATTCCACCTGGTGCAGCAGAGCAGGCTTCCTGGAGGAGAGGATTGGGCCATGAACACTGGGCCAAGAAGTGCCAGACTTGGAGAACCTTGTATGCAGGAAGCTTTTGGAGGCTTTGCCGGCTCTGCCCAAGCGCTTGTGCAGGAAGGGAGGGCGAGTGGGATGGAACAGGGCCTCGAATGCCAGGCTCAGGAAGTGCGGCAGTGGTCCTGACTCCTCTAACCCGTGCTGACCCCTTCCTGCCTGTCTCCTATGACGCTGGCCCCAGTTGCTCAGGTGGGCCAGCAGTCAGCCATTGCAAAGCCTTAGAAACTCAAACACCCCACCCCACCCCCAGCCTACTGGCCGCCTATGACACCTGTGCCACCCCCAAGGAACAGGAGATGCTGCTGAGCACCATCAAGTGTGGCCGTCTGCAGAGGTGAGGGCAAGAGGCAGAACCCAGAGGGTGTGGCCAGGGCCAGGGCTGTCGTGGCCCAGGGCCTGACCCTCACCTGCCTCTCCCTTCATGCAGGAATCTGGGGCCCACCCTGAGCAGGACCTTGTCCCAGCTCTACTGCACCTACGGCCCCCTAACCTGAGCTATGCCATGAGACAGACCCTCACCTTCCCCGGCTCGCTAGCCTTTTAACCAGAATCTTTCGGGCTACAATAAAAATCTCAGTGTCTGCAGCCTTCTGTATTATGGAGGAGATGGTAGGCCCCAGGGGCCTGTAAAATATCCACGCAGAAACTGGGGAGACCATTGGTTCCCTTGGTTTTTAAACTGAGCTCCTCAGAACCCTGCGGTTCCCTGGTGGAGCTCTGAGACTGCCATGGAGATGGCATCCGTGAAGCATTGCAAATTTGAGTCCAGTTTATGTCATCAGAAGGTCCCTGATCAAACACAATTTCCTTTGATGAGAGGTTCTGTAGCTTGGAAAAGAAAAGTGTGAAAAGCACCAACAGTCCAGTTGCTTCATTTTATGGATTGGAAAACTAAGGCCCAGGCAGCTACTAGCATTGGTCTAAATTGATAGTTTGAGGCGTAGTTAGGATTGAAACCCAGGGCCTCCTGGCACTGACTAAGTGGGGTGTCTCAGGCCCCTGCAAACCAGCCAAGCCCAGATTTCTGGGCTGGGACCTGGAGTCTGCAGTCTCAACACCCCCTCCCTTCTCCAGGAGATTCTGATGCCCGTGGCAGCTAGACCAGTCCCAGCTGTGGGGATGCAGCTCCCAGCTCCTGTCAGTGGGGCCCCTCAGCCTGAGCAGAGACCACCCCCCCCGTTAGGGGGACCTGGCCTGCTTCCCACAAGCCTGGCCCCTTCCCCAGTCTAGGGTTCACTACAGTGTCACCCACCCACCTCAGCCACCAGGACTCCTTCTTTCTCCCTTTATTGCCTTTCTCTCTCTATCCTTCACAACAGCATCTTCCCTTTTAGCAGAACACAGTCATCCCTGAGCCCCAGCTCCTCGGCTACAGGGAACCTCCCCCTCCCTGAGGGCTGCCCCCGACTCCTCAGAAGGTGTAGGCCCCCACGAAGACGGTGAGTCTCAGTACAGAGCTGGCTCGGTAGCTCATGAGGGAGTTCATGGTGACCATCTCGAGGTCCAGCACGTACTCCCGGGGGCCCGTCACGGGCCGGGCGAGGACCAGCATGGCGCTGACATTGTTGATTTGCTGCAGGACACAGTGGGGAGGCATGTAGATTGCATCAACCTACCCACCAGGATCCTACCCCAGCATCACCTCCCTGCCCCACGTCTCACACTCACAACCAGTTGGCCGTGAAGTGGAGAGAGAGCCCTGGCCAGGCTGTGACCCAAGGCTCTCATCCAGCTCTGTGACACCCTTGACATCTCTTCTCTCCTGCACCCAGGCTCCTGCCCTCAGAAATCCCCCACTGGTGCTCTTCCCACTCCTTCCAGCTAGTTCTTTTGTCTAACTGGGGTCAACTGATGATTCAGGGCCAGGTGTGAGACTCAGAAGTGGGGGGGCCTTTGGCCACCTGGAGCAGGAGGACTCCCAGTTCAGAAGGAGAAAACAAGCCCTGATCCCAGACAAACCCTTGCACCCCTGTCCCCGTGAGGCACACCTGGAACCCTCCCCCCTAACACCTCCACCTACAGGGAGCTGGACTCTCAGATCCCCGCCCCTGCACCAACCCCTCTGCCTCTCTCTCCAAGGCCCGACTCCATTTGCTCGCCTTTCCGGGACTCAGCTGTGTCTGTTACCTCGCAAGGCCTCTCATGCCAGTCCCTTGTTCTACGAATAAAGAAATTGAGGCCAGATACGCAAATCAGTACAGGGGCTCCAACCCCAGTGTCCAAGTGCCTCCTTAGAATTGCATTTAACAATCTGTAGTCTGAACCAAGGGGATTTACCCTACCTTTCTACAGAAATTCCGCCTCCCGGGGGCGGGGCTTTGAGAGAAGAGGCGGGCATGGTGGCATAGCCGTGTCTCCCATTTAAGGTTTCCTGGAATTCAATTTTGGATTATGCATGTCAGTTGAGGGGTGGGGTTAGGGGAAAGTCTTACCCTAATGTAGAAGTCCCCCTGCGAGTTTCCGGCACGGATCTGAAAGGCATTGTAGGCGCCGGGGTAGACGGAGGTCGCTTGGATCTGGAACACGTCGGCGGGCACGCTCCGTTCGGAGGTGATGCTCATGTAGCGGTGCACGATGGACGAGGGCTGCTCCCGGCACAGGGGGTTGGAGGCCGGACAGAGGCAGCGACTAGAGATCCCGAAATGTGGACATGAGTGAGGTCCTAGCCCATCCCCCTAATTTGACCCACCCCCAAATTTGGGATCCCAGAAGGATCCTCCCACTCCTGCTCTAACAGCTCGCGTGACTTAGTCAGGAAGGACTACAACTCCCATCAGCCTTCGGGACACTCGCCAGTCCAAATAGGCGTCAGTCAGCCGCAGAGCCCTCTGGGAGTTGTAGTCTCTGCGAGGGCCCGGCGTCGAGTTGACTCACTTGTCGGACACTTGGACGTAGGGCTCCACGCAGCGGTTGGTGTCCACGCAGCGGTAGCCCCCATGGAAGTTGACACAGGTTTGGGCCTCGGAGCACTGGTGCGCACCAGACTCGCACTCGTCAATGTCTGCCAAGGGAGAGGGGCTGGAACCGGGACGTCAGATCACCAGCCCCTGACACCACCCTGCCCGCTCCACCTGGGCAACCTGTACCTTGGCAGAGGCGCGTGGCCAGCAGCTGGTAGCCTTGGGGACAATGGCAGGAGAAGCGACCTGGCTCGTTGACACAGCGGTACTGGCAGAGGTAACTGGAGTAGCTGCACTCATCGATATCTGAGGGAGAGTGGGGATGAGGACTCTGGGCCAAGGGCAGTCCTCTCACTTCAGTCCCAAAAACGTTTACGGAGAGCCCAGCCCTATGTTAGGCTCAATGTGGAAAGACAGAGGGGGATGTGACAAGCCCTGCAAAGCTCAGTAGGGGGACAGAGGATTCAAAGAAAGCTCTGCCCAGACTGCCCAGCTCACAGACCTCTTTTGCCTCAGGTCTGTAAAACGACGGTAAGTGAGAGCGCTGGGAATCTAGAGGCTTGGCTTAAATCCTACTGACTGAGTTTCGGGAACCTCAGTTCCCTGTCAATAAAATGAGTGAGTTAGACGAGATGAGCTTTGAGGGCCCAACATGCTTTGGTTTTCAATAACTTGCCCAATTCCTGCAATCCACAATCAGCCCAAGCACACAGACCCCTCCTGCCAACTGTGAGCTACACAGGCAGGAGCCAGGCTTTCTTCTCTGGTTCCCCCCATTCTGCCTAGCACCGAGCCAGGGACCAATGAGGCCTCACTCGGCAGCAAAGCAGGCTACGTGGCCAGTTGACATGGAGTGAGAAGTCTGGGATAGAACCCTGGCGCCATCTCACCCTAGATGTGTGACCTTGGGCAAGTCACTTGACCTCTCTTTGTTGAAGGACTTTATGCTATTATTTTTTTGTAATCCTCCCAACAAACCTTGAAGGAGCTATTAATGTCCTCATTTTGCAGAGGAAGGAAAAAATGATACTCGCCTCACAGGATGGTTGGTAGGATTAAATGAAGCCAAGTAGGTAAGGGCAGCGCCCTACACAGGGCACGTGCTCGGGAGATGGAAGTTCACTTGAAAGATTTGCTGCTTGGGACTTGATGAAGGCTGTCTATTATCATTTTCCCACTTAATCCTCAAGACAACTCATTTTACAGAAGAAATAGGCTCAGAGAGAAGAGTGACTTGCCCTAGTCCAGGATTCGAATGCAGGTCAGGGCACCCGCATCCTTGCTCAGTCTCCCCACTAAAGCTCAGTGGGGACCTAACTTCTCCCCTCTGTGCCTTCCCCACCAGGCTGGGAGTTCTGGTGGGCAGGTCTGCAGGTGCCCTGCAACCAGCTGGGGGTGGAGTACACAAGAGGTACATGGGTGCAGACTGGATGGGACGTGGAGCCATCAAATGGAGTCCTATGTGGCAGGAGGCACAGTATGACACAGGGCCTGGGGGACCAATGGAGGAACACGTGGCAGGGGTGGAGCTCTCACCACTGCAGGAGAAGCCATCCCGATGCAGCTCATAGCCCTGGTGACAGCGACACAGGAAGGTCCCATAGGAGTTGAAGCAGCGCTGCTCACATGGAGCCCCCATGTCACATTCGTTCACATCTAGGAGTGCCAGGAAAAACAGGGGAGGGGTGAAAGCCAAGGAGCAGCCCAGAGCCCCTGCTTCACCTGGGCTGCTCGGGAAGGGAGCTCCTCCACCCCACGCCACCCTGCCCAGGACCCAGGAGCCTGGCCCGGCCCAGCCTCACCCACACAGGAGCGGTTGTTAGGCCCCAGCTGGAAGCCCGGCTCGCACTGGCAGCGAAAGGAGCCAGGCAGGTTCACGCAGCGGTGCTGGCAGTAGCGGTAGCGGCACTCGTCTATATCTGGGATGGAGGCAGGGAAGGAGGGCAGAGGGAAGAGGTCAGGTGGGGCTCAGGCCGGCTGGGACTCAAGGCCTCAACACACATAAACTTGTCTGTGTCTGAGGGCCTGGGCCAGGTCAGCCAGGACTCACACATACGCCCACACAGTCCTGTGTCTGGGGATTGGAAGGCAGGGGTGGCAGGGCACTGAGGTGAAGCCTGGGATGGGCTGGAATGGGGGTCGGGTGCCAGGGGCACAGAGCAGGGACTAGAGAGGCTGTCCCCCAGACTCACCCACACATTCGGGCCCAATCTTGCGGTAGCCATCAGGGCAGGTGCACTGGTAGGAGCCAGGTAGGTTATGGCACTCCTGGCTGGGACGGCAGTCATGCAGGTCCTGTGCACATTCGTCCACATCTGCAGGAGACACCACTCAGCCCCCGCCTGGGAGCCTGTGCACCACCCAACATAACAGACACCTCAACTGGGAGGACACAGGTCAGGTACCACTCATGTGGGCATGTGGGTGACTGGCAGCCCCAAATTGGGAACACATGGAGTGGACCCTCCCAACAGCACACGTAACAGTCCACCAGCCTGGGAGCCAACGGGAAAGGCACCCCCTAAACTGTGAGACCCCACGCCAGAGAAGCATGGGAAATAAGGCCCTGCCCATATGCCCAGGAGTACTGATTCCAGGGCCTTCTCCAAGGCCCATGGCTCCCAGGAGCGGGGTCCAGATCACGAAGCGGGCAGGAGGCAGAGGCTGAGAGGCAGAGCTCTGGCAGTGTGTCTGCAGCTGTCGAGGGGAGGGTCCCAGGGGCTGGCTGGGGCAGGGGAACAGGAGCTTGGGGCCACCTGTGACAGGCCCCACACCAAGTGAGTATCTGGATGAGGGTCTGGACATCATCCTAGTGGCCCTGAGGAGGCTTTCGAGCAAGGGAGGAATGTGACGTCTGAGTTTTTAAGACACAGCGATAGACACTTGGCAGGAGGACCGGAAGCTTGGCACCAGGAGGACCCTCACTCACCCACACAGCTCTCTTGATCATCAGGCTCATAGCCTGCTAGGCAGGGGTTGGGGTGTTGAGCAGGGGGCACTGGTGGTGGGGGTCCCTCGCCATGCAGGTCATTGATGACGGCGGCCGAGCGGGGCAGGCACAAGTAGCCCCCATAGTGGTTGATGCATTTCATCTCCCCTTTGCAGGCCTCGGGGATGGTCAGGCACTCGTTGACATCTGCAGAGAGGGGCCTGCTGGGTACAGCCAGCCTCCTGGGCCGGCTATGGAGGGGGTGGGAGGCAGGAGCTCGGCTTGGCCTTCTCTAAGCTGTGTGACCTCAGCAGGGCCTGCTTTCTCTACTCAACAGCTAAGGCTGCCTGCCCAGGACCCCTCCCCAGGGCCTGCCAGGGCTGATGGTGGAACAGGTGTTCCCACAGTCACCCCCATTCTCTTGCCCCCAAGAAGATCTCTATCTCTCCCCAAAACCCTGGCCCTGGCTCAGCCTGGCTCTTGAGTGAAGCGCAGGCCTCCTTACCCACACCCCCCAGGACACTGCCCTCCAGGGACATGATGGGACAAAGCTGGATAGGAGAGTGGTTAGAGAAGGTGTCCAGGACCCAGCTTCCTTGGGCAGTGCCCTGTTGCTCTCTTGCCTACTGAGGGGTGGGGGCAGGGTGTCCTGGGTTTCTCTGAGAGGGAGGGGCCCGGATGGCTCCTCCACCCCTAGCCGAGCTGGTCCCCAGAGAACCAGAGCTGGCCTCAGCCAAGCAGAGCTGCTCAGAGGACAGGCCATTGGGCTCCTACTGCAGCTCCTGGAGCTAGGGTTGCAGTCCCCTTCCTGGTTTCTGGGGGTGGGTCAGTCCCCCAGGCACACTCACCCCGGCAGTGCTGGCTGTCCGGGTCCCACTCATAACCATCTGTGCATTCCTACAAGGGGACCAGAGGTGCCGTGGTCACCCTCGTCCCCTCCAGCTGACCAGGCCAAGACCAGGGCCCGAGCCTGGCCACCCTCCCGGCCTGCTCCAAACAATGGCCCCAGCTGCTCCACCAACCAGGGGAGGGGAGACTCTTCCCCAGCAGCAGCCACCCCAGGATCCTGATCTCTGTGTCCCTGCCCAGCCCAGCCCAGGCCAGTGGCCCCGTCCCGTCCCCACCGTGTAGCTGTCAGGCTCCTCGGAATCCTGGGGAGACGCTGCCCCCAAGAGCAACAGCAGCAGTGCCCAGAGCAGTAGAGACCCGGGAAGGCACGAGGCGAAGGGGAGCATCCTGGGGCTGGGAGGTGGTGGGCAGGGGTCAGGGCGCCTCTGCCACGGCACCCCCCATCCCCTGTCCCAGGACCCGGAGCCCTGGCCCCAGCCGCCTCCCCCTTGGGCCCGTGCCTGGGGCTCCGGAGCCTCCCAGGGCCGAAGGCCGACTCCTTGCGCAGGCCGGGGGCCGGGGTCCGGGGCCCACCCGCCCGGGGCCGCCCCGCCCCCGCCCGGTCCCCCAGCGCCGCGGGCCCAGGAGCGCGGGCCTCTCGGCTCCTCGCTGACGCCGACTCGGCCGAGACTCCGGCTCGCGCCCTCCCCCACGGACGGCCACTCACTTGAGCCCGCGACGCCCCCGCGGCCCGCGGCTCCGGCGGCTCGGCTGGTTCGGGCAGTGCCTGCGGGCAGACGGACGGGCGGACGGCGCAGCTCCCTGGACGCGCGGCCCCAGGAAGCGCCCCCCGCCCGCCCGCCCGCCGCGGCGCGGCCCACCCCGGCGCCTCCGCCCGCCCCTCGGCGGATTCCTGAGCCCGCGCCAGGGGGAGGGACCCCGACCCCCCGCTTCTCCGCCCCCGGCCGGCCGCAGGCCCCCACCCGGTCCCCCGCGGCGCCGCCCGGAGCCGCCTCCCGGCGCCGGGCCAGGGTCCTCCAGCGCTCGATCCTGGGGGCATTGGTCCTGATGCCAGGCCCGCAGACTCACCTGGGAGCCCCCAGGCCCTCACTTTGAGCACCCCAGAATGTCATCCTGCACACCTAGACCCTATTAGTCTGAATCCCCAGAATCTCATGCTATGCACCCACATCTTCATGCTGGGGCCCCCAGACTCTTTCTGCGCCTCCCAGAATGTTATCCTGGACACCCAGACCCCACCTAATTCGGGGCTTCCAGATCCTCACTATGACGCCCTCCAGAATTTTATTTTGTGCACGGACAAAGTCACTCTGGAAATACCAAAACTTCATCCGGGGTCCCCAGACCCTCGCCTGAGGACGAGACGCTCCCTGGCCCAGAACTGTCCATCTCTGTCCTTCTCCCCTCCATCCCCAGAGCTGTCTTCAGCCAGGTGGTCCTTTCACTCCAGGACAGCCTCCCTCGAGCTCTCCGATTGCGAGATTACAACAGTTTGGGGGCGGGGGCGGCAGGCCCCTTTTGGCCCAGAATGAATGGAAGCCCCTGAGAAGGCGGACAGGGCTGATGGGGCTCGGGCGTGCAGGACGCCAGGGTCCGACGCCAGCACTTTCCCGGCGCTCCTGCCACCCGCGGCCCCCCTCCTCCCCCGGGGTTTCTGCCTCCTCGCGCAAGCGGAGGGCGCGCCCTTTGGGGAGGAGTTTGGGCGGAGCTGGCTCCCAGGAAGGGGCGGGGCCTCTCCCTGCCCACGTCTCAGGGCGGGGCCAGACGGGAAAGGGCCGCGTGTCCAGGGCTCTCCGTCTGGGGGCAGATGGCGTGCGGGAACTGCCGAGCCCTCCCTTCCCTTTCCACCCGTGTTTACCCTCAAGATCAACCCCAACGCAGCCCCGCCCGGGGCTGGGGAATGCCAAGGACGGGACGTGGGATGGGTCCCGAGGTGAGCCCTCCGGGTTCAGGGTGAACTGGAGAGCGCCTCCTCCACCCCCGAATCCTTTCCAGCCACAGGGGCTAGGAGGCTAAAAATAATAACTCTTTATAGTCAAAAAGACAGACAATAACAAGTGTTGGCGAGGATATGGAGAAATTGGAACCCTCATACACTGTGGGTGGCAATGTAAGATGGTGCAGCCCGCTTTGGCAAATAGTCTGGCAGGTCCTCAAATGTTACCACATGACGCAGCAATTTCACGCCTAGGTATGTACCCAGGGGAATTGAAAACATATGTCCACACAAAATATCTGGACACAATGTTCATAGCAACACTATTCATAAAAACCAAAATGTAGAGACAATCTAATGTCCGGCATGATGAATGGATAAACAAAATGTGGGAATACACTGGAGTATTATTCAGCTGTAAAAAAGAACGAAGTACTGGTATGTCCTACAGTATGGATGAATCTTGAAAATATAACACTAGGTGAAAGAAGCCAGACACAAAAGGCCACATATTCCACTTATGTGACACATCCAGAATAGGTGAATCTGAGGGACAACCCAGATCAGTGATTGCAGGGCGAAGGGGCACCACGGAGTGACTGCTAATGGGTGTGGGGTTTCTTTTGGCGGTTTCACGAAAATGTTCTGAAATTAGATAGTGGCAATGGTTGCACAATTATGCAAATACACTAAAAACCACCGAATTGTACATTCTAAAAGGGTAAATTTTATGGTTTGTGAATTACACCTCAATAAAGCCGCTATGAAAAAAATAAGGGGCTGGCCCCGTGGCCGAGTGGTTAAAGTTCCGCCTGCTCGGCTTCGGTGGCCGGGGTTCGTGAGTTCGGATCTTGGGTGCAAACCTACTCTGCTCATCAGCCATCCTATGGAGGCATCCTACAAACAAAAAAATAGAGGAAGATTGGCACAGATGTTAGCTCAGGGCTAATCTTCCTCACAAAAAAAGAAAAAAATGATAATAAAAATATTAGCTCTTGATTATCAGGATCTAACCATTCCAGGCACCGGTGTGCACCTCACGCAATCCTCCTGCCAAGTGCGGGAAGGGGTGCCGTGAACACCCCATTTCGCAGATGACAGAAGCTGAGATTTGTCCAGGCACAGGCAGAGTGGGAAGGACAGGATTTGAACTCAAGTCTCTCTGCCTCCAAGACTCTCTGGGTTCTTTGTCCCCACAGTAGAGCATTAAGGACCCCCCATTTGAACACCTACTCTGTGCCAGCCAGGGTCGTAGGTGCTCCACAAAGTGTCATTTCACTCAAAGGAATTGTCACTGCCACTCAGAGATGAGGACGGGAGGCCCAGAGGGGAATGACTGGGTGCGCAGTTGGCAACTCGGACTTGGACCCAAGCCTCATCTTTGCACTATTAGGCCTGGGCGTGCCTGCCACTCGGAGTTGCCTCCTTGGAATGCCTCTTCTGACCTCTGGGACCCTAACGACTTTCGCTGCCCTCATCCCCTCTGCACCGGGTCACAAGGCCTTATCTTGCTTGGTGTCCCTCTCCTACCCGGTCGTGAGCTCCTTTCAGTCCACAGCCCAGCCTTCACTGGGCGCCAGCCAGGAGCTTCAGATGAGCAAATGAATGAACAAATGAGTGAGCGAGTGGGGAAATTCATGCAGTCATTCAACAAATGTTTACTGAGTGGCCACCATTGACCAGGCTCTGTGCTAGGCACCGGGGACACAGCACTGATTGAAAAAACACCCAGATCTCCTGGCCTCGTGGAGCTCACATTCAAGGGAGGGAAGGAAATGATCAAAGAAGGCCACCCAGCCTCACACCTCAGTCCCTCCTCCCCCAAATTTCCACAACTCCCCCACCACAAGAGTCAGGTTTTATGACACCCCCTTTGGTGCCCACACGGGCTTACCATCTGGGGTAACGGAGGGGGCGCAGCAAGATGGGGCCTCACAGCTTTGGGAAGATTCCTGATGAATGAAGAAATGAGGTAGTGAGCACATGAATGAATGAACCCCAGGATCAGAGCCCTCCTCCCTTCCCCTCTCCCATCCCCAAGGAACCCCTAGAAAGCCAGCTTCTTCTCATTCATCTCTGGCCTTGGGTGCTAGTTCCCAGCCTGGGGGGCCTAGCTCCCAGCCTGGAGGCACATAAGGGAGATCCCCAGCCCAAGGGCCCATTAGAACCAAGGCAGCAGTAATGGGTGTTAACACCCCTGCCCAGCCCTTGGCCTCACGGGCTTTGGCCTTGCTCTGCCTGAGATGCCAACCCTGCTATCTTTCTGCCCCCTCAGGCCCACCTAGACCCCTCATCCACACTCCCAGACTGTGACAGGAAGAAGGAACAGGAGGCAGTAGCTGCCACTTGCTGTCCCTTGGGCCCTGCACTTTCCTGTTTAAAACCCGTGATGACCAATTGTTCAGTCAACAAACATTCATCGAGCCTGCTCTGTGCTGGCTCCGTCCTGGGCACTGAGGACACAGGGCATCAGACGCCTCTGCTGTGGGTGGGAGGCAGATGCCCAGCCGGCACAGGCACAGCAGGGACTCAAGGGGCTGCAGGTGACAGCAGAGGATGGGGAGCAGGGAAGGCTTCTTGGAGGTGACCCTCGAGCTGACTGAGCTTCGCAGGATGAGCAAGAGTGCTTCCCCAGGGAGCAGTGAGCACCTTCCATCCTTGCCCAGTCATTAGGGGCACGTGGTTCCCGTAGCCCCCTGGGCTTCCTGCTCATGGCACTGATGGCCCTATATTGTCACTGCCCAGTTAGGATCTGTCTCCTTAAGGACAGACCCATCTCTGCATCCCTACAATTGCCCAGAACAGGGTGGGCAGAGAGCCTCTGTGGAATAGAGAGAGGTGGAGTGGAGAGCCAGCAGGCCAAGGGCCAGGCAGGGACAACCACCTGAAAGCCTCTTGTGCTTGAGGGGTCCAACCCCTCCCAGCCTAGTTTCCCCTGTGTGGTGGTTTCTCCAGCTCCGCCCTCTCAGCCCCTCCAGCTTGGTCTGCACAGCTTCCTGCCCCTGGCACTCTGGTCTGCGGCGCCATGGCCCAAACCGTCCACCTCTCCTGCCTCCTGGCCCTATTGGTGGCAGGTCTGGCTGAAGGCTTCAATGGCTCCCCCGGGGGCCAGGTAAGTACCCCCAACCTGCACCCCATCCCCTTCCCTCTACAGGCTCCATGCCTCGGGCTCACCCCTTCAGGAAACTGCCTTGTTCCCATTTCCCAGAGGGAGAGACTGAGACTAGAGAGGTGATGAGTCCACGCTCACCCAGGGAGACAGAGCGGGATTAACGGGCTGATCCCCTAGCCCAGTCTGCCTGGCTGGGAGCTGAGGTGTGGTTCCAGCAATGACTCCTCGCCTACCTCCCCCACACCACCCTTGGTTCCTTCCAGGACCCAGGGCCCCGGCCGCTGGAGCTGAAAGAGGTCTTCACGTTATTCCAGATCCAGTACAACCGGAGTTACTCGAGCCCAGCAGGTATCACCAGACACGCGTATCTCCAGTCCAATACCCCTTCTCCCATTTAACAGAGGAGGAAATCAAGGCTCATGGTGGGGAGTGCGCAGGACAGTGGCCGGACTGGGGTGTACTCCCTGGTTCCCAAATGCAGAACTGGGGACAGGATTTCTTTGCTATGAACCTGGAAGGAGGTGGCAGCTGTTGGGGGTCTGCCCAGTCCTAGAGGATTCTTCCCTCCATAGCCACTTTCCTGTGAGCCGGGCAGCAGGCAGATCACCATCTAGTCATGACTTCATGCAGCAGACACCCAAGGATACCTACCCATTTTGTCCCCAAGCTGGGGACTCCCTCACCACCCCCAGGAGTTGCCAGCACTGCTCCTGCTCCCTCTGTGTCTCATCTCCCCTAGGGGCATGGTCTAGGGTTGCCCTTCAGCCCAAGCTGCTTGGGCCGTGGCCCTGTACCCCATCCCCACCCCCCACCACGTCCCACCTCTGAAACCGTGGTCTGAAGTGTGAAGTGAGGGTGGAAGAGGTGACCTGGCAGGAAGCTGGCTTCCAACTATCTACTTTCTCTTCTGAGTCACTCTGCCTTCAGACCCCTTACTTGGCTTCCCGCTGGGGTGGGCAGAGGCCCCCCTTCCTGCCTCCTGGGAAAACCCAACCCTAGGTGGGCTGGGGAGCCGTTTCCTTAGCCTGGGCGTCTGCAGCGGGGTCTGCAGGAGCCACAGGAAAGGAGTCAGGGCTCACCTGGGTGAGTGTGGGTGGGAGGATGCTCAGCCAGCGGCCACTTCCTGTCCCTGTGGGCTCAAGAACCAGCCTAGGACAACCCCCTTTTGGTCTAGAGTATGCTCACCGCCTGGACATCTTTGCCCGCAACCTGGCTCAGGCTCAGCGACTGCAGGAGGACGACTTGGGCACGGCTGAGTTTGGGGTGTCCCCATTCAGTGACCTCACAGGTACTGGGACCCCGCCTGGCCCCTAGGTGGTAGGTGGGGAAGTAGAGCCTTCTCCAGGGATAATGGCAGATGGACAGGGCAGCCCTTCGGTTTTCATGTCCCAGAGAGGGATGCTGAGGACCAGGGGCCTGGCTGCTAGTCCCAAATCACAGAGGGCAGGGGCAGGAACTCTGGAGGCCTGTGGCCCAGCCCAGCTCAGGGGCGAGGCAGCAGGTGCAGGGAAATGCACCCAGCAAGGAAGCCAGCCTCTCTCTAGACCTCAGCATCCTTGCCTTTGTCTCCCAGGGTGTTATGGGGACTCAAATGGCTGAGGAAGTGGATAGCTGGAGTAGGAGAGACAGAAGGGGTCAAAACTGTGGTCTTGGTGGCCCCATCTGTCCCCCAGAGGAGGAGTTTGGCCAGCTCTATGGGCATCGGAGGGCGGCTGCAGGGGCCCCCCACGTGGGCAGAAAGGTAGAGTCTGAAAAGTGGGAGAAGACAGTGCCCCAGACCTGTGACTGGCAGAAGGCAGCCGGTGTCATCTCATCCGTCAAGAACCAGGTATCTGCCCCTACCCTGTCTGGTCCAATCCAGCCCCAGTGGTGCGTGGGAAGGAGAAGGGCAAGCCTGGACACCTTACCCCAGCCTCACCCTCTCACCCAGGAAATGTGTAACTGCTGCTGGGCCATGGCGGCTGCGGGCAACATTGAGGCCCTGTGGGCCATCACATACCATCAGTCTGTGGAAGTCTCCATACAGCGTATGGCTGGGAGAGGGCTCGGGCCGGGGGCAGGGGGGTGGGGTGGGGATGTGTGACGAGGGAGAGGAGGGGGGCCTGGTCACCCACACTGTCCCTTCTTCCACCAGAGCTGCTCGACTGTGACCGCTGTGGGAATGGCTGCAAGGGTGGCTTCGTCTGGGACGCGTTCCTGACTGTTCTCAACAACAGTGAGTGCCCTGCCTCTCCGGGCAGCTGTGGGCTGGGGGACGTGCAGGAGCCGTGGCTCCATCCTGGTCTTGCTTATCTCCAGGTGGCCTGGCCAGTGAAAAGGACTATCCATTCCGGGGGGATGCCAAACCCCACAGGTGCCAGGCCAAGAAGCCCAAGGTGGCCTGGATCCAGGATTTCATCAGGCTGCCGGAGGACGAGCAGAGTGCGGGAAGGCTGGAGACATGGGCGGGAGTGGGGGGAGAATGACAGGGATGGACAGACCAGGCTATAGAAAGAGATGGAGGGATGGAGGGGGTGAGGATGTGGAAGGGGGAGAGAGAGAGAGACACCCATGAGCTGAGAGCAGGGGGGACAGGGCACGCAGGGCCTGATGGCACCTTCTACCCCCAGAAATCGCCGAGTACCTGGCCACCCATGGCCCCATCACCGTGACCATCAACATGAAGCTACTGCAGGTGGGAGAGGGGAGGAAAGGAGGGGAGGGGCGTACAGGGGAGGCGGCCCCAGACTCAGCCCGTCTGCCCTGCCTCTGCAGCAATACCAAAAGGGTGTGATCAAGGCCACGCCCACCACCTGTGACCCCCAGCATTTGGATCATTCTGTCTTGCTGGTGGGTTTCGGTGGAGGCAAGTCAGTGGAGGGGAGGCGGCCAGGGGCAGTCTCATCCCAGTCTCGTCCTCGCCGCTCCTCCTCATACTGGATCCTGAAGAACTCCTGGGGGGCCAAGTGGGGCGAGGAGGTGAGTGTGATCTACTGCGGGGGACAGGGCAGGACAGGCATCTGCCATCCTTCTGGCCCTGAGGTCCCCTAATTTCCTAGGGCTATTTCCGGCTACATCGAGGGAGCAATACATGTGGCATCACCAAGTACGCGCTCACTGCCCTAGTGGACCAACCACGTAAGAAGCGGCCAGTCTCCTGCCCTCCCTGAGCTCGCCTGGCTGCCCCTCAGCTCTTTCCTGCTGTGCCAGCTACCTCCTTGCTAGCCCCATCCCAAGGTCTCGGCCTGTGCTCCCAATCTTCTTGCTACAGATTGAATAAACCAAGACAAGAGCCCTGTCTTCCAAGTGGACTCAGCTGGAGTGGGGAAATGGGGAGAACTTACCTACCATTCCCAGATACATCCTAGTCCCTGTGGGGTTGATGTACCCACACATCCTTATAGACGTACACCATGACATATGCACGCACACCTACGCACGCTCCCACACACGGACGATATGTGTACCCACACACAGGCTCCTCCAAAGTCATGGCAACTTTATTGTCAGTGTGGGCCCTGCGGCGGAAGGGGGCCTCAGTCATGATAGAGGCGCAGGAGGCAGCCACGGAGGGTGCCCATGTAGCGGTCCCAGAGGGCCTGGTGCCTGCAATGACAATGGGAACACTAATGGCTGACATTCACTGCCTCCTCACCGTGTTGTGACAACTGCTATACACGCTCTCTATACTGTCACCTGTTTAATCCTCACAATATTCTTAGAATCCTTATCATCGTTCTCCCCAGTTTCTATGTGAGGACATTGAGGCATGGAGAGGTGAAGGACCTGCTCAAGGTCAGGTCACCACTTCTAAGAGGTGGAGCCAGGACTCTGGTCCAAGGAGAGACCTCCACCCACAGGGCGGCAGAACAGGGAACCATGAGTCTGCAGGAAGGCTAGGCCCTGGCGGGAGGCTGGCTGGGGCCAGGCCAAGCTGGACGGGAGGGCTGGGATCTCTCACCGGAAGCCATCCAGGGAGTGGACCGACGCCGAATACTGATTCAAGAAGAGCCGCACGTCACTCAATGGCCAGTGGTCAGAGCGGCAGGGTTCCACGAACTGTGGGCCCAAGGGAACATGCAGCACTGGTACAGCTCAGGGACGGCCAGGGTGGGGATCAGAGGGCGGCAGGCAGGACAGCTCACCTTTTCCACGAGGTCCACAAATAGGTCTCTGACGTCCTTATTGTGAGTCAGCTTGGTGGCCACATTCACCAGCCCCCGGGACAGGTTCTGTGGGGCAGGGGGCCTGGGAGTTCTGCCTTCTGTCCCAGAAGCTGGGGGCTGAGCCCAGAGGCCGGAGGAGGAGCAGGCCCCTCCGCACATCTATCCACCTCCCTCAATTGAATAACTCCCCAGTGTTTAGGAGCAGGCTCCCGCCTGTGAGGCGGGCAAAGGGGGGGCAGCAGCGCCACCTGCTGGTCAATCCCGGGCATGAGCAGAGTTGCCCAGTGGGACAGTGCACTGGAGGCTGAAGAGGCCCAAGGGACAGAAGCTGGATTAGGCCACAGACCTTGAAGTTGGCTTCCATTTCAGAGAAGACACCGAGCTTTCCTCGAAGGGCGGTGCACACCAGGCTGCGGGGAAACAGGGTCGAGATTAGAGCCACCCGGGCCCCCACTTCAGGCCCTACCCCATGGAGCCCCTAGGTTCACCTCTTGTGCAGGTCCAGAAGGTCCTTGTCAGCTACAAGCACCTTGAGCTCCTTCAAGTCCTGAAGAAACTCCTTGTCTAAGTCCATGTCCATGTCATCCACCTGGGAGTCTGAGTGAGGCCCGTGAAGGGAGTTGGGGTGGGGGATAAAACCCCTCCTGTGATATCCTGAGCCTCCCCCCACCACCTCACTGCACCCCACGAGACAGAGGAGGAAGCGGAGTGTCAGAGAGGTGCAGTGACTTGCCCCAGGTCATAGAGAAGCAGTGGGCCCTCTGTCTGCAGGCCAGGTGTGTGTGGGGACACTGACACTGGACTAGGAGCAGAGGTGGCTGAGGGGAGGGCGCTGAAGAAGAAAGGATGCTGGGGCCTGCAGGAGAAACTGCTGCTGGGGAACCAGGCCCAGAAAGAGGGGAGGCGTCCGGGCACCTGGGTCAGTGGGGGCCTCACCGACGGCTCCGAGGGTCCAGTTCTGGATCATGAGCTCAGCACAGAAGGCAAAGTCGCCAAAGCTCAGGTACTGCAGTTTTTTCTTCCCTGTCTCAAAGCGGTTGTTGGCAAAGAAGACAATGGCTGCATAGTCCCTGCAGGGAGGGGACAGTGGGCTTGTCAGGGCTTGAAATTCCAACACTGGCTGGGCACCCAAGTTCTGGCCTCTCTCTGCCCTAACTCACTGTGTGACGTCTTTCAAGTCACTTCTGTCTGGGCCTCCTCATCTGTGCAAAGAGAAGGTTTCAGCCCAGGTCTCCTAAGGGATACAGCGGGAGACCACAAGCGTAACGGTCACCACGTACTGAGCTCTTCCTAAGCCTAGGGGCTGCGCCATGGGCTCTACATGTGGCACCTCACACAGCCCAGCTGGCAAGGGGCCAGGCTAGGATTTGAACCCAGGCCAGTCTGATCCAAAGCACGGACCAAGGGTAGGACAACCATCCCCCCAACACAGCCAGACGTCAAGGGGTTTGCGGCGGGAAAGGTGGGCCAGCCTCAGGGCCCTGGAAAGGAGTGCGCAGGAGGGGAAGATGGCTGACTCTTCTCTTGGCCCCTCACCTGGCCAGCCGGTCGGAGAGGAGGAAGTGTTGCTGGACGTTATCAACCAGGGAGCCCCGCATTTCCTCCACCACCTTGAAGACTCGCTTGAAATTGTCAAACTGCAGGGCAGTTAAGGGGGGAGAGAGGACTGGTGAGAGGTCGCTCCCCTAGTAAGCTGTTTATTGAAATCCCTCTCTCATCTACCCACCTATCCGGTCAACATCTGCTAACTTAGCATCTGTTATTCCTTCCACAAACTACTGATTATTAATACCTGTTATCAGTTCAATAAATATCTACCAACTTCTACCACGGAGCCTCGGATAAATGTTTACTCACTCCTACCTCTCCATTCACCCCTATTTTAGCATCGTGAGCTTGTGCCGGAGCTCACCCTCCTGACTAAGGCCCAGGAAGTCAACAATGAGCAAATGCTAAGCCATATGCAGGGGGCTCACAAGAAATGAGGGATTAGACACTAAAGGCCCAGGAGAAGGGTTGGTTCTCCCTGGCATCACCAGAAAGGCTTGTGGAGAAGGTGGCATCTGAACCCCTGCCTTGGTTTCAAGGGGTAGAAATGGCCAAAACCAATACCTTCCAGGGAGGAGCAGCATGAGCAAAGGAAAGCCAGGGGATGGGAAAATGTCAGCCTAGCGAGCTTGGCAGGGACCAGGTCATAGGAGAGTATGCAGGGCAAGGCCAGAGGTGTGGCTACTATCCAAGAGGGAGCAGGAACCAATGAAAGTTCATGAGCTGGGGGAAGCTGTGGTCAGATCTGGGCTTTTGAAAGGTCACTCTGGCTGAAGAGTAGAGGATGGTTTGGAAGGGACAAAAAGAAGGGAGAGGAGACTGGGAATGAAGCAGCTGCCACAGTCGGAGGTTGGGGAGGAGGCTGGAGCTGGGGCAGTGGCCAAAAGGATGGAGTGAAGGGGGGACTGTAGGTGGGAAGTTGTGTTGGGGGGGTACGGTGCCCACCTGTCTCCGGCAGCTCTTGAGGGTGATGCCTGTTTTGGTGCTGATGTCGTCCAGGTCTTTCTTGGTGCCCTTGGACAGCTTCTTGCCCAGGACCTCCCGCACAAAGGCCTCATCAAAGGCGTAGTACCTGCGTGGAGGTAAAGGACACCACTGACTTCCCATAAAGGAAAGGGTGCCTGGCAGGGCCTGGGTTTGGCCCCTCTGCTCTCAACTTTCTCAAGGCCTGGGTAAGTCCCGCCCCTCCCTGGGCCTCAGTTTCAGCCTGCAAAATCGGTATACAGTCAGACTGGTTGGCGTCCCCACCTCTCGATGAGCAGCGCCTGTCGGGAGGGCGGGATCTGGTAGATGAGCTGGTGCAGCAACTTGGGCGGTGCGTGCAGCAGGCGCTCGAGCATGTGGAAAGTACGGTAGTGGTCCATAGTGTCGCTCTGCAGCACCGCGGCCGTGGCACCCGTCTGCTCCAGGATTCCTGAGCGCACCCTCAGGGCCACTGCGTCGCCCACTGGGTAGTGCGCATTAGCGTCAGGCCCCGCCTGACTCAGGAGGCCCTCCAGGGATTCCCGCCCCGACCCCTATCCATCCCTTACTCCCGCTGCCCACTTCCCTATAGGATGCTCAAGCCCTGGCCCCGCCCCCTTTCCCATCCAAAACAACCGCTCCGCCCGTCGGGCTTCCCAGACGGCCCCCACAGACCCGAGTAACCATCCAGCCAGAGGCGATACACGTCCTCGTCGATGAGGGTCGTGTTCCCCACGAAGATATCCAGCTCACTAGTCATGGTCACGCCCGGACCCGGGCGCGGCCGCGGCGCCCCAGCAGGACCGAGCACTGCCCGGGCCCGGCACGCCGCCGGGCCACTTCCGGGAGTGCGGAGATTCGGCTCCGGGCACCCGGAGCCAGAGAAGGACCACTTCCGGGACACAGCGGGTGGGGTCGGGAGCGGCGCGCGACGGGGCGGAGGCAGAGGCGGTGGAGGAGCCCCTCCTCCCGGCGGAAGCGGGACTCCCGGGCTCCTTTGGCCCCGTGTGCGGGAGAGTGTCCGGAGGCAAGGCTTCCCGCCAGTCTCCCCTACCCCTGCAACCTCCTGCCCTCACTTCCTCTTGGTTTTTCTCCCACATTCTCTGCTCTTTTCGGGGCCTCCCTACTTTGACCTGTATCCTCAATGCTAAATCTTTTCTTTGCTAAAAAGATGTCTGGCCCGATGTCCAAGGACACTTGCTGGGAGCCCCTCAGTCCATCCTGCGGATGAGCACGTCTCCTGAGCATGGGGCACCTGCTGCCGTGGTTTGAACCACCCTCTCACCACTAACTAATGGCCTCCCCTATTGTGCAGCTCAGAGCTCTGCCTGGAAGTCCACATCCGGAGGGCCGCGTATCTTCGAGTCTGCCCGCGCTGTCTCCCCACTCCTTCTGAGGCCTCTCAGAAGCAAGGCAGACCTCTCCTTCTCCCCAATCTGTTTCTTTTCCTGTGTTCCTGTCTCAATGACAGCCCCAACATCCACCCAGTTCTCATACCAGAAACCTGGGCTATTTCCCAGACTCCTCTCTTCCCACATTCAGTTCTGCTGATTAGCCTCCTGAATATTTCCACTATCTTTGTCCTCTCCACCCCCACTGGCACTGTCCCAGACCAGTCCTTCTGCATAGCTCTCCTTGCCCATCGACACAGTGTTCTTACTAATGTCCCTGCCTACGTCCCCTCCCATGGTCCATCCCACACAGAGCAGCCCGAACAATCTTTTTTTAAATGCATATTTTAAAATGTTACTCCCCTGCTTACAATCCTTACTGGCCTGTGGAAATGTTCCAAGCTAGCATTGAAAGCCCTTGAGAATCTGGCCTCCGTCTACCTTTGTTGCCTCCCTCCCTCTCTTACCACTTTCTCCACATGTCTGCTTTTCAAAAACATCGAGCTACTCTCACTTTAGTTCCTAAAACGGCTAGGCCATTTCGAGCATCAGTGTCTTTCACCAGGATATTCCCTTTTCCCGAAACAGCTCTCTCTTTATTTGGCAAAGTCCATACATCTTTCAGGGCCCATCAGATATTACCTCTTTTGGGAAACCTTTTTTGGGAAGTCCCTCAGACCGTGCCCCTCCTCCATTTGTTGCTTGTTTAACATAGCCTGTTTCCCCTGCCAGATTACTACCTCTTTGAGGACAGGATTAGGATCTTGGTGAAGTTTATTTCTGCGTAGGCCTTGCACACAATAAAGGTTTATTGAACAAATGAATCCCACGTATGCTCCTCCCCCCAGGCAGGAAACACTCTGAGAGGGAGTGTAGGCTGATGGTGAGCCCGAACGTTTGGACTCAGGGTTCCAAGGAGCTGGGACCGATGCCCAGTGAGCCGAGACTCGAGTTCGAGCTAAGCTAGAAAGCATGGAAAGACAATCCGTCTGTGTTCTGTCAGAAGGTGGGCAGGAGAGTCAGAGGCCAACGCCTGCGTCTTGGTTCTCAGAAGCAGCGGAGGGGCTTAGGCTCGAGCTTGAGGAGGTTTGGAATTGAGAGGTAGAAGCACCTAGTTCAGGGTTGGCTTGTTAAAGACGGTGATGTCGGGACTGAATCCGTGTCCGCGGGGGTCTCGGGCACCGTGGTTCGGAGTGGGCGGAGAAGGGTAGCTCCCTCTGCGTCCAGACTCCGCCCCTCTCCGGGGAGGCTTTCCCGGATTGGCTGTCCTTCCCTGACGTCATGCGGCCCCGCCCCGGCGCGCGCCCCGCCGCGTGCCCACCCCCGGGCGGCTGCTGCAGCCTACACTACCTCGACCGCAGCCTGCCGCCCGCGGAGCCGGAGCCCGACCCCGAGCGGCGACGGGCTCGACGTGGGGCTCCTGGGCTGCGGCGGCGGGCAGGCGATGCTCCAGAGGCCTGAGCAGCCATGGAGGCCGAGGCAGGCGGCCTGGAGGAGCTGACGGACGAGGAGATGGCGGCACTGGGCAAGGAGGAGCTGGTGCGGCGCCTGCGGCGGGAGGAGGCGGCGCGCCTGGCGGCTCTGGTGCAGCGCGGCCGCCTCATGCAGGAGGTGAATCGGCAGCTGCAGGGTCACCTGGGCGAGATCCGCGAGCTCAAGCAGCTCAACCGGCGCCTACAGGCCGAGAACCGCGAGCTGCGCGACCTTTGCTGCTTCCTAGACTCGGAGCGCCAGCGCGGGCGGCGCGCCGCACGCCAGTGGCAGCTCTTCGGGACCCAAGCATCCCGGGCCGTGCGCGAGGACCTGGGCGGTTGTTGGCAGAAGCTGGCCGAGCTGGAGGGCCGCCAGGAGGAGCTGCTGCGGGAGAACCTGGCGCTTAAGGAGCTCTGCCTGGCGCTGGGCGAGGAGTGGGGCCCCCGCGGTGGCCCCGGCGGCGCGGGGGGCTCAGGCGCCGGGCCGACGCCCGAGCTCGCCTTGCCCCCCTGCGGACCCCGCGACCTGGGCGATGGAAGCTCCAGTACTGGCAGCGTGGGCAGTCCCGATCAGTTGCCCCTGGCCTGCTCCCCAGATGACTGAAGACACGGCTTCCTTCGTGCCGACGCCCGCCCGGAGTGCTTCCCAAGCGCCGGGATAGAGGTGGACCTCAGGACCTGGACGCCACCCTGGCTGCGCACGTGGGGCCTCTGGGATGGACTTAGAAACCCTGGCACTGAGGAGGGCCCCTCGCTCTCGCTGGCGGGGCAGCAGGGGGACTGAAGGCTGGAGCGGAGGGACTTGCTGGGGGCTGGGTGGGGGCTAATAAACTGGGACGGAAGCAGAGCCTGTGGCTTGGGCAGCGTCTGTTTGAGACTCGCCAGGGTTGGGACGAGGGCGAGGACATTGAGACGGGGTTCCATTCCTATCCAGAGGGACTGCAGAACTAAGGTGGCTGACTCTCCCGTTACCCCAAGTCTGGGGTGGGATGTGGGACCATAGTAAGCCACTGACTTCCCCCGTCTGGCCCAGGGACAGGCCGTGATCCGGCCCCTGAAGTGGCTCCAGCTCCCTTCCCGGCTCCTTCCTGTCCAAGACAATGGGGCAGGAAGCAGGTGTTGGGGGCCTAGAACCCACTAGCCGCCTCCCCTGAGGCTGGAAGGGACATAACAGCGCCCTCCAGTGGCACACGCAGGAGCACTGTGGGCCCCCACCAGGAGGAGGATGTTAAGCCTCTTGGCTTGCACCCCACAGCACTCTCTTCCTTCTCTTAGTGCTAGCGATGAGGCAGAGCAGATGTAGCCTCGTTTGTCAGATAAGACAGTCCAGGTCCAAAAATATCAAAGAATTTGTCTAAGGTCATGCCGTGAGTTGGTGAAGCTGAGACCAGAGCCTAGAGCTTCTGGCTCCAAATGTTCTCCCTTTAGCCTCTGGGTCCAATAAGACCAGGCCAGAGCTTCAAGCCTTTTATTCTGTTTTGGCAGGTTTGTATAAAAATACTCTCTTTAGGAAAATAAATAGCAGCTGCCCTCGCTGTGAAGGCTTCATTCCCTGGAGCTAAAAGCTTCTCAGAGCTGGGGGCTGCCAGTCAGCTCATCACAGAAGCCTCTGGCACCCTCCTGAGCTACGCCATTCAGGAGGGCCGGCAGGATGCCCTGGTTCAGTCACCTGGTGCTGCTGGCAGTGGGGCTGGGGGAGTTAGTGTTCTAGGCTGGCAGAGTATCACTTTCTGTCAGAGTTGGGTGGATCATAGGAAGAGGGTGATGAAGACTCTAAGGGTAGTTTGGAGGGGGTTAGGGCTCCAGAGGACCTCTAGGGATCTGCAAAGTCCTTTGGGGCTGCCAGGAGTTCTCTAGCACAAATGGGAAATATTTTGTCTCTGATTCTGTGCAAATTGTTCAAGAGAGGCCAGCTCTAGAGAAACAGCAGGCAGCTTCACTGGCCCCAGGCTGGCTCTACCAGGAAGCAAAATATGCTCAGTCTCACCTGGAGGAACGGAGGAGAACCTGCTGAGGCTGGACACCGGATATGGTCCAGGCCAGCTGGACCAATGTGGGCTGGATATGTTGGCTAGGGTGGCACCAGCAGGGAGGGGGGCTGGGGTGCCTCATAAGGCCAGGAGGGTGGGGGAGCCAAGCGGGTCAGAGGACGGGTCCCCACTGCTGCTGCTGCTCTTGCGATGGGCTGAGGCACAGGGTTCAGGGGTGCTGGGGTAGGTGAAGACCAGACTGGGGGTGAAAGGCGTCAGGGAGGGTGTAGTCATGAGCGTGGGGGTGTGCAATGCTTCAGGTTCAAGCACAGGCCCCGGGGAAAGGGAGATACAAGGCACAGGGCAAGAGGGGGCTGGTGGGCTGCTGGTGCTGCTGGTGCCGCCTGTGCCGCCAGTGTCACTCTCCTTGGCCCCTTCTGGGATTTTGCAGATGGGGCGGTGGGCTTCCAGCACCAGCTCCAGGCGCTCCTTCTGCTTCTGCAGCTCCTCAATCTCTCTCTGCAGCCCGGATTTCTCATCCTCCAGTTTGTCGGTCTCCTGCAGAGGGTTAGGAGAGGAGTCAAGAAGATGAGGGCAGGGGGCCTGCCCTGTGGTCAAGTGGTTAAGTTCCCGCGCTCCGCTTCAGCGGCCCAGGGTTTGGTCGGTTGGAATCCTGGGCGGGGACATGGCACCGCTCATGGAACCATGCTGAGGCGGCATCCCACATGCCACATCTGGAAGGACCCACAACTAAAGATACACAACTATGTACCGAGCGGCTTTGGGGAGAAAAAGGAAAAAGTAAAATCTTAAAAAAAAAAAAAAAAAAAAAGAAGATGAGGCCTGAATACTGCGTAGCCTCCCGCGATGGTGGTGATTCAAGGGGGGGTGGAGGGAAAAGGGGAGGGCCAGGGAGTCTCCAGCAAGTCTGGACTACAACTCCCATGAGCCCCTGGGAGAAAATGGGCATGACTCCCATCAGTCCTAGGGGTATCTCAGAAGGAGATGGTCTGCCGAAGCTTAAGCTCAGCTCTGCTGTGCTCGGAGTAGGACGCGCAGCAACTAATTTTTAATCGCTTTTTTCTTGTCCTTTTCTCTGAAGGACTGCCCCTCCGACAGGGAGCTGGGGAGAGGGGACTTCATATACCGGCGCCCCCTGGAGCCCCGCGGCTCATGGGAGCCGGGATCCCCCCCTGAGGTTCGGTGGGTCGGACCCTGGGAACCCTCCGCAGTGGCCGGTGCTCACCGCCTGCAGGAAGTCGGTCAGTTCCTTCCTCCGGTTCCTGCACTTGGCCGCCGCCAGCTTGTTCCGCTCGCGCCTCACTCGACGGCGCTCCTCCTCCTCCGGGCTGATCTGGGGGTAGAGGGAGCAGTGAGGTGGACCCAGAGCCGCTGGCTGCCCGACACTCGCCTCCTGCGCTGGCCCAGTGGCAAGACCCTGGCAAGGGGCATGGCAGCGCGAGGGCGCCCTCAGCCTGCGGTTTAGGGACCACCGCACCCCGACCGGCTCCCCGCACTCACGCTTTAGTAAGCTTGGATTAGTCAGCTCTTCCCCGCACCCAGCTTTTGCCTCCTATGATTCCTCCCTCGGAATGCCCACCCCTACGCCACAAACCTTAACCCTCCTCATCTCCCAGGACTCAACTAAGATGCCCCAGCCTCTGGTAAGCTTTCTCTCGTTCCCCAGCAAGAAGTGGCCTTTCTTCCTCTGAGCCTCTGGGACTTGGCCACTCTTTTCCAAGGACCCTCACTCATTCTTTTCAATCTCTTGATAACCTAGTCTCCTCTTTCCCAGGGACTGTAAGCACTAGAAGGGGCCAATGAGTGCTGCTGAGTATGTCGTTATTTATCAGGAACGTATTATGTGCCAGCTCAGCGCTTTACATAGATTCTTAACCCAACTGTCCATGTAAGGAACTGAAGCCCAGGGAGGATGAATAACTCGTTTATGGCCCCAGAGCAGAAATTAAAATCCACTCACTCTATTCAACCCTGAGTGAGAGACCAGCTGATGGAGACCGCCTCCCCCACAAGGACCTGGCTCACAGCTCGCAGCCCCTGTCTAGGAGTACCCAGGAACAAAAGACCACCCTCAGGACAGGGCTGAAGGAAGGAAGTCCAGGAGCCTGCCTCTGCGGCTCGCACCACGGTCCCCTTCCAGTTGGTCACAAAGGCCAGTCATTCTGTTTGTGGGAACACTTCCCCTGGCTGATGGCACAGTTTCCCCAGGACCCCAACCTCCCTCCCCATCCCCCACCCTGCTGTCAGAGTGAGCTCTTTACTATGCACACCTCACCCAGTCCCATATACCAAAAAGCCCCAGGGAGAGGAAAGAGGAGGCACTCCCTTAAAGACGGTATCTCCCATGTATTTATTTTGGTAAGGACTTTATTAGCAGTGCGCGGGTGGGAATGCTGGTTGCGGAGGCAAGAGTTTCAGCTCACTCTACTTCAAGCCTTCTCTTAGCTGCCGGTGAGACAGTGTGGCTTGCTGGTTAGGATCTGACTTTAGAATTGGACAGACCTGTCTCATTACTCACTACCTGTGTGATCTTGGGCAAATGACTACCTCTCTGTGCCTTCATTTCCTTGGCTGTAAAATGGGGAGAACCAGAGTACATTCCCCAGAGGGTTTTTGTGAGGATTAAATGATATGGGGAAACTGAGACCTAGAGAGCAACCAAAGGGAAGTCTCTCCTTTCTGTTCTCTCCCCAGCTACTCAGACAGCATAAGCCCACCGTCTCCATACATGTCAGACCCTCTACTCTCCACACACCTTTTCACATGTACACCTTACACGTTCTCACCTCCACCTCCATTCTTCTTCCTGGTATCCCCTCCACCAGACTGCCATTTCCTTCCTCTCTATCTATGCAAATCCTACCCATCCTTCTAGGCTAATACGCCTCCACCTCCAGGAAGCTTTCCCTGATCCAGAAGTGACCTCTTTGCCCCTGCATCTCCCCAGGGGCTCCAATCACTTTCTTCCTTGGCCAGTAGTCACAGTGGCCGCACTTTACCCCTCCTCCCCGAAGCCTGTGTTCTCCTTTTGGGCAACAGCTTCTCCTCCGCACCCCTGTGGGCATCAGAATCAGCCACATCTCTGCTCCCTACCTGTTCAGAGGGCCGGCGACGCACCCCTGGAGGTGGCCCCAGGGCCCGAATGACTCCCGGCCGGGGCTGTGGGGGGCTGTACTGGGGGTATGCCAGAGGCCTGGGGTAGCTGCTGGGTCCCAGGAAGTGAGGCTGCACCATCCACTGGAGCTCCTGGCTGCCACTCACAGCGTTGATACTTGGCACGAGGTGGAACTTCTGAGGGATAAGAAATGGAGGGCCAAGGATGAGGTCTGTGTGGATGGAGGGGCTTCCAGTGAACAGAAGCCACACCGCCGTCCACCCTCAAGGCAAATGCTGGTTCTGAGAGACCAAAAAGAGCCCCGTTGGGCAGTCAGAGAGCCTGACTGGGTGACAAATCCCTGCTCATGAGCTGTGTGACTTTGGGCAGGTCACATAACCTCTCTGTGTCTCCATTTCCCCATCAGAGCTAATACTTATAGAATGTGAATTCCAGGCACTGTCCTAACCACTTTACAAATACTGACTCATATAATTTGCACAACAGTATCATCATTTTCAGACAGGAAAACAGTTGTCCATGGACACATAGCCAGTAAGTGGAAAGCGGGGTTTGCGCCACAAGCAGCCAGGCTCTTACCCACTCCGGCACCCTTCTGAGTCCCATCTGCGCAAAGAGGAGCATTACAGCTCCCAACCCCGAGGGTGGCTGTGAGAATCAGGTGAGAGAATGTGTGTGACAGAGCCAGGTAAGTGGCAGATGCCCTCTGCACAGGGGCTGTGGTGGGCAAGAGCCATTGCT